CTCAACATCGCTAATCTCTAGGGAAATGAAAACTGTGAGATAACACCTCACACCCATGAGGTGCCACCTCTCGAAACTGAAGACAGGAAGAGTTGGTGAGAATGTGGGGACATTAGAACCCTGTGTACTGTCGGTGGGAACGTAAAGTGGTTCAGGTGCTGGGAAAACACAATGGCAGTTCCTGATAAAACGAACCGTATGATCCAACAGTTCCCCCCGACAGAAGCGAAAGCAGGGTCTCGAAGAGCTACTTGGAAGTCTGTTTTCATAGCAGAGTTCTTCACAACAGTTAAAATGTGGAAGCAACCCAAGTGACCATCAGCTGACGAATGGAAAAGCAGGATGTTTTATTAGATACGTACAATGGAATATTTAGCCTTAGAAAGAAAGATTTTCTGTAATAGGCTACAAGATGGATGAAGCTTGGGACATTACACCAAGTACAATAAGCCAGAAAAGACAAATACTGTGTGGGTCCACGTGGATGAGTACTTGTAGGGGTCAAAATCCTAAAGACCCAGAGTAGAATGGTGGTTGCCCTTGGTGGGGGGAATGAAGAACGAGGAGTTACTGTTTCACGGGCATCAGAGGTCTGCCTTTTAGTTTTACAAGGTTAAAAGTTACAGAGCTAGATGGTAGCGGTAGCTGCACAACAGTGTGAGCACCCGACCTACGCTTAAAAATGGTTAAGATGGTAAATTTTATGTATTGTGTATTTTATCGCAATAAAAAAAAAAAAGATTGAACATAGAGGCGGGTTTGTTTAGACGTGTTACAGAAATGGCTTCAGTGCACCAGGGTTTCTCCTGTAAACAGTGTCATCCTGTCACACAGAGGTTTGTATTTAATGGTCTTTCTTGCTTACAATCACCATGAAGGTTGGTGGAAAGGAATGAAGCAGTTTCTCCCTGCCAAATCGGTGGAACACGAAGAAACCCCCGTTCGCTACAGCAGCAGTGAAGTTAATCACTTGAGTCCAAGAGAAGTCACCACGATGCTGCAGACCAACTCTGCAGGTAACTGTGGCCTTGGCGCGCGGAGAGGAAGACCCCGCTGCAGGTAGCTGCGAAGTGCTGTGGGACCTGCGGGGTCTTTTAGCTTTTCCCTATGTAAGAGATGAACTATCGGCTTGAGGTAGAACTACTTTTTAAAAGGATGACCTTGAGAGAGTCCTTTCTGGTGCCTTGGATGGTCTCCAGAAAACATGAGCATGCACTTCTCGTAAGATTTTATTTATTTACTTCAGAGCGAGAGAGAGCATGAGCAGGGAGCCTGACCGGAGGCTTGATCCCAGCACCCTGGGATCGTGACCTGAGCAGAAGGCGGCTGCTTAACCAACTGAGCCACCCAGGCACCTCCTACGAGCGTTCGACTCTAAAAGCTCTGGGCAATTTTATCTGTTTACCTGGAGTTTTGAGTGTTGTTAACAGTAGGAAAGACGGAGCGAGCCATAACAGTATTTATCCTATTAGTTTAGCACACATTTATTTTAAACGTCGTTCTATTTGAAAATACTATTCTAATAATGGAATTTTTTTTCACCAGTGAAACACTATTTGTAAATCTGAAGAACATATACCAACATCTTAAGATTTCATGAATGAGGCTCTATGGCATATTAATTTCTTACGAGATACAAGATAATGTTTTTAAGTTTTTACATTGGTTCCGGTAGAGAAATCCATAGGTCTGTGTTGATAGGAACAAAAGCGCCATAGAGAGGTGTCCATTTTTGGTGTAAAGCTACGGCCGCCACCCCTAAATTGTATGATCCCTGTAGGACTGGGGTAACTTTTCTGTTTCTGTGACGTCCACAGAGTATGCACAGCCACTGGTGGGAGGAATTGTTGGCACCCTTCATCAGAGGTCTACCTTTAAACCAGAAGAAGGAAAAGAAGCAAGTTATGCTGACTTAGATCCTTACAACTCCCCGGTTCAAGAAGTTTATCATGCCTATGCCGAACCGCTGCCAATTACTGGGCCCGAGTACGCAACCCCCATCATCATGGATATGTCTGGGCACCCCGCAGCTTCCGTTGGTCTTCCCTCGACGTCCACTTTCAAGGCTCCAGGGAACCAACCCCCCCCAGTGGTGGGGGCATACAACACTCTGCTCTCCAGAACTGACAGCTGCTCCTCCGCCCGTGCCCAGTACGATACCCCGAAAGGCGGGAAGCCAGGTCCGAGTGCCCCGGACGAACTGGTGTACCAGGTGCCGCAGAGCACACAGGAGGTATCAGGGGCGGGGAGGGATGGTGAATGTGATGTCTTTAAAGAAATTCTCTGAAGGGGGTGCTGCTTTTTCTAGAGCATCGTTTTAAAGCACATGGCCTTTTTTGTGTGTTAGTGGTAGTAATATATAGAATGTATTACGTATCTGTCACAGACGTGGTGGGGAAATGTGATGACCGAGGTACAGGGAACTACTTACTAATCTTGCCATCTCGCTTTAAAAGTGTTACTGTGGCAGCTGCCGCTGCTTGCCTGTTAAATTTCCAACATCCCGTTTGTTACTACTGTAAAACACTATTTTTAATACAGAAAAAGCTCCCTACTATGCACTTCAAAGAAATTAAGAATCACTGAGAGTATTTATTACCAATGCTGCAGGTACGTTCATGAACTCCAGAGGTGGCTCTGTAAGCCAGACTGGCAATAACGCACGGTACTGTTCTTGAAATGTCTAATGGCTTGAAATTTTGCTTTGTGAAAGGTGGGTAGTGTCCTGAGTTCTCTTCTATTCCTCTATTTCTTATGGATTTTTTTCGAAAATTAGTGATAGTCATTGTTTTGATGGCAGTCGTACACTCACCTGTCTTAGGAAGCTCTCTGGGTGGAAACGGACTCGTAAGGGGCAGGCAGGGGCAGGGAGTCTCCACTTTCTGACACGCTGAAGAGCTTTAACCCTTAATGGTGACTTGGATTCCTCCCTGCTCGTTCCGTCTGGGGCCAGCCCCACTCTTGTATCTATAAACTGTTGTGAGGTTTTTTGTTTTTTTTTTTTTTTTTTTTTTTTTTTTTTTTTGAGTGAGGCTTGCTTTCTCAGCCTCGTGACTCCTCTAATTTCAAAAAGCTTGAACAGCGGTTCTAGCCCTGCTCCCCCTTCATTTGTTCCCAGGCGAGAGGCGTCTACATGAACACTGAACAGGACCCCTTGCATTTACCACCGTGAGAAGCAGATTCCTTCCTCAAAAGTCCTAAAAATTACCTTTAAAAAAAGGATTTTCCCTCTTTGAGATTTTCCTTTGAACTTGAATGTATTTTTGGTCAAAAAGCATTTTTAATTATCCACAGTGAGGTACTGAAAGCCGGCGTGAATTCCTGTTTTGAGTGTGCTCACCTAGGGAACAGATGGATGTCCTAGTATCCTTGCCGGTGAATACTGAGGTCTTGTTCTTGCTTCCAGGCAACTTCCTCATCACCCATTTGCCCAGAACTAGCTTTAGATAAGTGACAAAGTCCTGTACAAGTGATCAGCCCATCGCATAAGAATCAGAATCTTAGGCAAGAAGAGCTGGCCCTAGGACTAAAACATATAATTTGACATCCCCTCTTCTATAAATCTTAGGTAATTTCCCTATAGGTTCTAGCCATTACTTATAGCCTCTGCCCCCAGATTGTTTCCAGAATTTGCTAGATTTGCAAAAAGACAGTGTTCGTTTTGCTTGCCTCAGTGTATCTGTATCCTAAAGCACTGCTTCAAAAATAGAATTCTTTCTGCAGCCTCTCTGCCCTCCAGTACTGTGATTTTTTTTTTTGGGGGGTGTTACCTTGATTTGCCTTTGCTTTTCCAGACAAACTTTGAGGCATAATTTTATTGTTTCAAAATATTTGAAACAAAAAGCACAGATGGTGAACTTTAAGACACGAATGTGTGTAGCACAGGTATTAACGCAGTCATCCCCTTTCAGGTGGGAAGAGAGTAAACCAATTTATTTTTTTATTCATCCTCCATACACACTAATTTCCCCAATCACAGGCCTGTTTGAGAAGCTTTAAGAGAAACGATTTCATTTTCCCAAAGATGCTTGTTCTTTTTAATTTTGTACACCTGATTTTTAAGAGGTCAATGTTTTCTTAAATGATGCATATTTTTGCCACTGTGCTGTCCTTGAACTACCAATGATTTTTATGTTTTTATTGCTTTTTATATTTTGCTTTCCAAATGAAGAGCTGAGCCTGATATAGTTGTTCTGATTTGGTACTTTTAGTTCACTTGTTTTCATATTAGAGTTTTGTCTTTTTTTAAAACTACATATATCTGACGCAGCTTTGGAGACAATCAACTGAACATGTGAACGTAACTTTTACCCCACCCCCGCCACATTCCCTTGAATTTTTATTCTTTGCTTGAAAATGGTTTGTTGGATGAACTTTTTTCCTGTTAACACAATTATAAAAATAGAATCAGACAGTGGTACGGCAGGTGTGGCCCTTACAAGCTTTCCTAAAATCACACTGACTTTACTATTACATGACCTTAGGAACCAGCACAGTTAAAGATATATATTTTATTAAAAGCTGCAACACTAACTGGATCCTACTGTATGTGCAGAGTCTAGTCCAGTTATTTAAATTCATGTCTCACTATTTGCACTTTGCATTGAACAATGGGTTTATCAGCTGATGCAGTGGTTCGTGTAGAGAATTTATAAAGCACTTGAAATTAAGGTGTCCTGCGTACTCTTGCCCGCCCCCGCCCCAGCAGAAAATACACTCCTCTAAACCTGAAAGTGGCCATAAGTCCGGGGACAGTGAGAAAGCCTGAACTTCTTTGCCTTGGCTCCACACGGACACCTGGAGAGCAAAAGGGCTGGGAAACACCAGGTCAGATGACAAGAACTACAAGTGAGAGGCGAAAACTTTTTAAACCCTTTTAAAGAGAAATCAGTTAAGCTCTACCTTTAGAAAACTGCTTATTAGCTCTGCTTTTCTGTTCTGAACTTGAAGTCCCTAAACTGCAAAAGTCTGGTAAGAATCGGATAGTTATGAAAATACTGTTTTGTTTTTTTTTTTTTTTTTAGATCAACTGGCACCAATTCTTATTTACTCCAATTTGTGACTAGGTTTTTGTTTTTTTTTTTTTTTATTTTTGGCATTGGGAAAGGTGAAAGCAAAACATATTGGAAATAAAAATGGCTTGAGTGTCAGTGATAGTCTCCCCGAATGTACTTTTCTTACCTCGGCATGTACTGTAGTCACTCGGTATTTGTATATGTTGCTAGAATGTAGATTGTATAAATAGTGAGATTTTAACGTGTTCATGTGTTTTTAATAAATTGTACATATGTGTCGGGCTGAGAGTTTCTTCTGGCTTATGTGAAGCCACGCTGAGGTTTGTAGCCTCAGCTCCTACTGTACAAAAATGCCGATTCCTCAAGTTGAGCATCCGCCAGATACCGTACAGCCATTATTTCAGTCCATAAACACTTGAAAATGCCACCTGGGGTTTTTCACTTTGACTGCAGCCAGGACCGTCTTTGTAGCCTGAATGAGTCCACCCACAGAATCCCAGCCGCCAGGCTGCAGCGTGCAGCTGCGTATGTGTGGGAACTTTCCACCTCCGTTACAGGGGAATCAGCTGAAGCCACGTAGACATGGGTTCAATCAACTACGAGGCTTCTCCCCCCCTTACGCTGCGCTTCACGATTTATCCCAGTGGCTGCTCTCATATTTTGTCTCTGAGACTCAGAGAGGCAGGCTGGTTTTCAGGAACACCAGCAGTGTCTCTCCGTGATGATTATCGCTCAGAGGACAACAAGTCCTTCAACTCTTACCTCTTCCGAGAGCTGTTCATTCCATCCCTCTTGTATTAAGTGAGAAGAGAGACAGGCGCACGTTTGTTGGACAGGCTGGTTTTGACTTGTCTGCATCCAGCAGGACTCTTTGCACCCTAGGTAGCCGGGTAAGCCTTCCCTTTGAAGATGGGATTTCACCGTGGACAAGTGAGATTTTTCACGAAAGGATCATTTAAATCCAAAAACAGCCTGAGGAGTCTGAAGGATTTACCTACTGCGCCGTATTCATCTTTCCTATTTCAAATAGTAAACTTCCAAATTTTAACATATTAAGGCAGGCAAAAGATGACGTTTAAGAACTGTCTCCTTGAGGTGGCCTAGCTCTGCTTCTTTGTATGAACTTTAAAGTAATGCAGCCACCAGACTTTAGTAATTGTATTCCTAGGTTGTTTACTCATCCAGAATTTCACATGTAGCCTGTTTCCTCTACCTTAAAAACAAAAACACCTTTCATTTACCAGATTACTCGTTATAATCTGGTTTACTTAATTGCAGGGGAAAAAAGCTTAATGAAACCATTATGATCTTAGATTTCATAACCGTACCTACTGCTATGGTCGGGCCTGCTTTAAGGTTCAAATCCGTTTCCTCCGGTTCAGTAAAAAGGAACTCGATACTTGCCTAAACCGGTTCCAGTTTGCACAACCACGTGGCCATTCCCCACCAATTTACAGTAGCCGAATCCTCCACCAACTCTGTTCCGAGTTTGTGGTGGTCAGGCTAAATAAAGCCCCTTACTTGGACGTCACATGCCCTCAGAAGTCAAAGATGAAGTAACTATTAAAAAAGATGTTTAAAAACACTTCAGAGAACTAAGGTTGTTTTAAAAACAACGCAATCAAAACTTCCCGGATATCTAAGCATATCTTCTTGGTTTTTATAAATTAAATATATTCACAGAAATTAAGCTGGTGGTTATGAATCACCAGGCAGCAATAGACTGACTATACACAATTTTTTGACAAGTGCATCCAACATATTTAAAAATAAACTAAAAATTGCAGTATAAAAATAAAACTAATACTGTTAGCATCATCTGCAGAGTCTGTAGGGTCAATCTTCAGTCAAGTTGATTACAAAGTTTTTTTCTAGAATGTCCTTCAAAAAGAGCTGCTCCGCTGTCACATTGTGATATGCGTTCTAAAGAAGAAAAGTAAAATAAAATCACCATCTAGCCCAATCTCAAGATAGTAACAGCAATAGTGGGATATACCATCTAAAAAGCGTCTGACTAAAAAAACTCAAGTGAACAAGTGTACAGGTCAACTTTTAACTTGTGTTACCTTTTTCCTTGTTCATTCCTTTGCTAGAGTTTTCCCTAAAGCCCACTGTTTCCACTTAAACCATCCCATAAAAGCACCCCCTCATATCATTCCCAAATCATGAAGTCAAACTAAAGACCAAAATTGTAAGTCAAAATGGGTTTATCCTTTAAGCACCTGATATGCATGTTTTTTTAAAAAATAATTCAGTTCTAGGGACACCTGGGTGGCTCAGCAGTTAAGCATCTGCCTTAGGCTCAGGGTGTGATCCTGGAGTCCCGGGATCGAGTCCCATGTTGGGCTCCCTGCATGGAGCCTGCTTCTCCCTCTGCCTGTGTGTCTCTGCCCCTCTCTCTGTGTCTCTCATGAATAAATAAAATCTTTTAAAATAATAGTAATAATTCAGTTCTATTGACGATATCATTTTCCTTAGGAAGCTGTTTCAATGTTCTGTTATTTAGATCACTAGAAATCCCACAGGTGCTACAGGAAAAGATGAGGGCTGAAGAAAAAATGATCCTGAAGTATGTCCCACGATGGGGTGGGAGACGAGGTAACCTATGGTCTAACCCGAGTAATACCACTTCCTCGGCGTATGTAGTGTGTGGGGATGAGGACTTAAGGGGACTGATTACATACGATATGTCCACATACTGTACAGCAAACCATTCATATTTCCCTATTAAAAATGTAAAGATAACATTTTAGTCCTATCACTTGTGATATGCCACTAACCTCAGCTGGACAACAACTTCCCATCCAGTTAAAAACTCTTAGAGATCCAATCACCACCATTGATGTTTTCATTCAAAAGAAGCATGCTCTACTCTAAATGTTTGTTACCTTTCTGACTATGAATATTCCCTCATAGAGTTAAAATGTTACAGACTTCCTCATATCTACTTTAAAAAAAAAAAAAAAAAAAAAAAAACCTTTGAAAAACACAGCAAAAAGCTACATCATCTTCCCAACTCCAAATTTACCTTCTCCTTTATGGTGTTTGCAGTGCGCAATCCTCTTAGATAAGGGTCTCTGTTCCAGGGCCATGCTTTTAAGTGAATTTGAGATACTATCAAGAGCAAGCTGCCTAGGCGTAGATTTAAATAGTGCAGAGATGATGTCAGTTAATAACTATGTCCTTTTCCCAAGGGTCTGAGGCCCACAGATTGGAATTGCTGTGCTAGTAATGACCCTAGATTTGAGTCCCAGTTTCAGCTCGTAGTTCTTGGTAGAGTTAAGCAGCTCTCAGACTCTCAAAACCTACTTCCTCAGGGAAAACAGGGGCTTTCTGACTCTAAAGGTCAAAGATTACACCCAAGTGTGTGTGTGTTACCTTATTCATCAAAGACATGGTCGCGTTCCCATAATAGTGTAAAGGGCTCTTGAGGTCAGAAAAATTGTATTTAAAACCAGCAAGGTGAACTTCGTGACATATGTGAAAGGCCAGCGTGATGGCAATAATTCCTGTTGTTGGGTGTTTGGGTTTCTGGGGAGGGAAATGAAAAAAAGTGGTTTTAAAACTCATACAAGATCCTTGTTTCCAAAGCATAGTTGGGTGACCTCATCGTACAAAACCAGGACTTCTGAACACTTATTCAGATGAGAAATACCTAAGTTCAACCCTCATCGTGTCTAAGGCCCAGGCCCCGGTTAATTTCCTACCCCTGAAAAGCATATAAATGTGACTGAAATCTTAGAAAATCTTTCCGATACACCTCAACTGCAGTATCAGCCCGGGGGACAACTATCCAAGGAAGAAACATTGAGGCTCGAGGAGACGGATGCTGCTGCTACCCCAGCTTTATAAAACAAGCGGAGCCAAGCTTCCTGTACAAAAAGCAGCCTGAATTTTGAACCCGTACATGAAACAAGGTTAGTTCGCTAATGGATGGAATCACGGTAAAAGACTTCATTCACATAAGCCTTAAAATAGATCGCTTTTATAATAGTTTAACCAGCTCTAAGGAAAGACTTGTCAATTTACTTCAATGACAAAGAGTAAGATTCTAACTTCCATAGAAAATAAAAATTTCAGATGTACACATGGTAAAGTCAGTGGAGACTGGACCCTTATCAACTGAAAAGCCAAAAGGAGGAAAAAAAAAAAAAAAAAAACCCCACACAAGCACCCCCATCACATATACACAGCTCCTGAGAAGGCAGTAACAAATGTTTGACGGGCAGTTTTTAATTCTTACCAGGCTGGCCTTCTAAGGCAAAAACAAAACACATCTTAAACTCTTTAACACAGCAGTCTAAGGAGACTTCCTTTCCATTAAAGGTGTGACTTAGAGTCCGTGGAAAGAACACAATGATTTTGAGAAGGAGAAAAAAAAAAAAAAAAAAAGCCCAAGAAGCACCATAATATCAAACTCCAGGAGGCAAGCTCATCTGAAAACTGCCTTTTGCAGAAGCTTTTCTTTACCCCATGCCCTACTGTGAACACCGTGAGGCTTCACCATCTGCTAGAAAAGGAAATTAGTGGTTGGGTTAAAAACCTGGGAGTCCTCCAACCTCCCTGATCCCATCGCTTTTTCCCTCTTCTGTCCTCTACTTCCTTTCTTCGTACCTTAGAGTACTTCATTCATCATCATAATCACTCCCTTACAGAGACCTTCCATTTTGTGCACCTCTCACCCACAGAAATAGATTATCCCCTGACAGAATCTTAACCCTGGCTCAGTCTACACCCGAGCAGAACAACGAGCTGAGAAGACAACATGTGCCTGGGTACACCTGACACGCATGGCCAGTCTCGAGTGGCTGTCAGTATTCCCCTAGTAAGTTTCCATTCCTACCCTCCAACATGACCACTTTATACCTTTATCAGCTTCCTTCCTCCTTTGAACAGACAATTTAATCCTCATTTCACCAACGGAAAATCTATACCGTCTTCCCAGCTCCCAATCTACCTTCATCTTTACCTGTATTTTCAGCGCTCACTCCTCTTACGTGCAGGCGATGTCCCTGCTACCTGTGGCCAGCCTCTGCACTCGTGCTTTCTTCTTTCATCCCATCTCTTCTCTCCCAAGTCTGCTTCTACAGTCACCCACTTGCTCTCCTCATTTTCCTCTGCTGAATCCTTCTCTTCAGCATATAAACATGGCACCCATCTTTTAAAAACCACCACAAGAGCAACCTTCCTTGATCCTGTGTCTTTCAACCATTTCTCTGCTCCCTTTTCTAACAAAAGGCCATTGAAGAACTGCCTCCACTTGCTCATGCCCTGTGTTCTCTTTAACCTAGTTTAAGCAGGCTTTCTTTTTTTATTCTTGTCCACATCATCAGGATGACTTCACGTTTCCAGAACCAGGGTTTGTTCTTTGTGCTCAACCTCTGGACAGCATCCCACATAACTGACCTCTCTGAAATACTGCTGTGTCCTCAACTTGGCTTCTGGGATGCCACGTTCTACTGGAACTTTAATCTAGTTACAACTAGTTTTAGCATCGTCTCTAAGATCAGGATCTTCCTATGCTTTTGGAGATACTACCTAAAATAAAAAACAAAGGTGGTATCTGATCTTACCTGGCAGGAAATAAGAGTGAAAAAAGGCATAAAACATACATTCAGAAGCCGTCGTTTCCCCTCAAAATTACTAAGAAAGTACTTAAGTTGACCTTTCCTCTCAAAATTACTATGAAATAACGCTTACATTTAAAACATTTATGCTTTTTGACTTGGGAATTCCACTTCTAAGGAGTCTTAGAAATCACACAAGTGGGCTGAAAAGCCCTATAATCCTGTGTATTTCTACATAATTTATAGAGGGGAAAAAAGATGGATTCAAGCAGAAATATCTATAAATAGGGGAGTAGTTAAATGGAGGGGAGAATGGCAGAAAATATCCACGGTAGAATTGCAATTATACTGAAGGAAAAATAGGTGTTTGTAAATGCATAGACGATAGTCTGGAAGGATATAAAAGGCAAAAAAAAAAAAAATACTTGTGGGATAATGAGAGGGAAGAGAAGGATGATTTTCTTTATATGTATATAAAATCATTAAATATATTAAACTATATAAGTTTTTATATATATATACACTCACATACACACACATATTCCCTTGAATTTATTTCATAATAAGCATTAGAATCTAACAGTTCTAAAGTTTAGAATTTATCATATTAAAAAAAAAAAAAGATACCTGATGTGTATTTATCTCTTTGGATTTTCCCTGATGACAAAAAGGGGACACCTCATGTCAACTGAGCTATTATGTCAGTTTCTCAGGCCTCAAGTGAGGGGCCCCCGGAGGAGCCCAGTGGGCCTCGTCTTCTGGGGCATGGAAACCAAAGGGCTCCAGGAGTCCAAGTCAGGGAGACTGCTTTTAATTAAAGAATCTCGAGTTTCAACAACGTTTCCTCAGACTTCAGTGCCAGTGTCTCCTCTGACCACAGAAGTATTATGGCTACCTTGTCCTTCGTCCCCTTTGCTGTGATATTTTTATCCGAGACAGTTCTCTTGAGCCTGAAAAGCCTTGCACTTGTCCTGAGCCGTCCTGCTACCCCAGCACAGCCTGCCCGGCAGCTCCCTCCCACGACACTGAAGACAGGTTCTAAGAAAGGAGGCGCTGGGCCACACAGAGGAGACCCCAGAAGGCTCTGAGGCCAGAAAAAAAAAACACAAAACAAAAAAACCCCACTCCACCTAAGATTCTTTCCTTGCAATCTGAAAAACAAAAATATTATTTTTGTTATTTGTTATTTCCCAGCTGCCTAATTCACTGCCCCAGATGTGGCCTTCAGAAGCCACCCGGAGTCCTGCATCTCATCCTTTCTGAGAACCCTAGGAACTCTCCACCCCACCCCTAGCCAGATCTTCAGTTTGAAACTGTGCAAAGAAAAATAACGTACCTGGTTTTTGGGAAACACTTTTGGGAAGTGAAGCAGTTCATAAGCTGCCATTCTGATAATGAAAGGATCTAATATTCTGATTTGATAAGGTTTGTAGATCAAGTTTAAAGCTGGTTTCTTCCAAAAACCGTTAGTGTTCTGAAATAGAAGAACAACACAAAATAGAACATTGTGGTTGCCCTTTTGGTTTTTTAAGTGGAAAAAAAAAATGAAGGTAATCGGAAGGCAGATGGATGTTGCCAACTTACTATTTTGCCACCCGTCAACACTTCCCACAGCCACTTTAAGTCAAGAGGCTTAAAAGCCGTGAGAATCGCTGTAGTATTAGGATCATTGTGATTGGGATCTGAAAAAACAGATTCTGGATAAAAAAGTCGGAAGGTTGTCCTTCTCCCAACTTCCTCTTCATGTCCTAAAACAGGACCATTATTCATTCTGTGGGTAGTAAAACACAAAATATGTAGACCAAGTGCGTGAGCCAATTCCATCCCAGTTTCAGAGCTTTCAGAACAAACAGCAGCAGCCAGGGGTCCCAGTGCTTAAAGCTACAAGGCAACTGTTTTTTGTTTTTGTTTTTTTAAATACACAACAGCCAAGGAAATAACTCCCTTTCACAAAACGGCTGCTTTTTCAAAATTAATTGTGGGGCCACTGGTAATTCAGTTTCAGTCCTACACCCAGGAAAACCAAAGTCCGCGTAAAACAAAATGGGAACCTAGAGCCACAGCATGCTAGGTTAGAAGAGACCTAGGAGGGCCTGCAGACAGAACCCCCTGGACCGGGGCCCTGCAGTCCAGAAAGCTCCTTGCCCAGGGCTACACAGGGTGTGGCACACGGAGTGGCAGGCAAGGGCTCTGAAGGTGGTCTGAAGAGCCACCACGATTGGGAGCCCTGGAATCCATCTGAAACTGCCTCATTACACCCAAGCACATGCGACTGGCACAGCGAACTCCAGGGCCACAAAGACCCGCTGCTGGGTTTGCGGCCGCGGTGCGTCGCGCACGGCCCAGGAGGCACAGGCTCTGTTTCCCCAACACCGGCCCCTGGGGGAGCGGTACGGTTTCCCCCTTGGCCCCGGCTCCGTGTAACTCAAGACGGTCCCAGTAACACTTGACACGACTTCCGTGAAGGCCGTGCCCGGGGCACTCCCCCGCCGGGGGCTGCTGTGGGCCCGGGGAGCAGGTGTCCAGACCCAGCAGGGAAGGCCCTCGCGAGGGTCTCGAAATGGGCAGTGATCCGGGGGGCGTGCCCCCCCCCCACGCACCGCCCCACACAGCCCAGGATGACCTTACTGCGACCTCTCAGGGAGGAAAGGGAGAAGTGGCCTCGGCTCCCCGCTCCCCCGGGGGCTCCCCTGGCCGCCCTCCAACCCCAGGTCTCCGTCCCGCCTGGTGCCCCAGCCCCTCGCTCTACCCCGGGGCCCGGCCCACGGCAGGCTCCGGCACCCCGACCTTCGCAAGAGGAGCAACCTGGAAAGGCCTCCTTCGAGTGCACGCCATCTCCCCTACAGCTCCTTCCTCGACCCCACACAGAGCTTCTCAAGACACTCGCCTCCCCTGGCCTCGCCCTCTGTCCCTGTCCTCCTCCTGCAGACCTCGCTGCCCGGGGCACCCCCAGATCCTGCCTCCAGCTCTGCTTCTGGGGAGCGCGAGCGGGCTTCGGGGGGGCAGGCCCACGGCCAACTCCGCGTCCTCCTCTCGCAGGACCTCGGGCCAGCGCCAGCGCTGCGCACAGCTGACGACCCTTCTCCTTTGAAACCTCCCGACCTCACTGGTGGATCCTCTTCCATCTCTTTCACTCCCCCCCACCCCCCCCCTTTTTCACTCTACCTCCAAGCATAGAGTATGTCAAGACTCAGTCCTGGGCCCTCTTCTCTCTTTCTTGGAAGTCTTGCCCAGACCGTGGTGTAAATTCCGCTAACAGGCTGCCTTGAACCTCCATCAAGCCTTGAACCTGTTCCCCACCTGCCGACCTGCCTCATCACCGCAAATCTAGAAGCATCTTAAGCCGAACAGGTTCACACAGAGATCTTGATTCTCCTCACACACGTCCCTACCCTAGGCTTCTCCCGACTCAGTAAATGGTGCCTCGAGACCCTACCGAGTCTCTGAGGCCGAAAACCCAGAGGGGGGCATCTGTTCCTTTAGCCCCACCTCCGCTCACACCTAGAGTGACAAGTCCTGGTAACTCCACCTCTAAGACACGTCTCCATCTATCCACTTACCTCTCTGTCGCGACAATCCTCTTCCAAGCCACCACCGCCTGCCTGAATACAGCCACCCCCCTGGCCTCTTCGTTTCTGTCCTTGTCCCTCATACCCCACTGTCCATGCTACAGCCAACGTATTTTAAGAACAGAACCAGATCAAGTTGCTCTCTTGCTTAAAAATCTTCAGGTTTCCTGTCGTACTTCAAATAAAATCCAAGTTGTAACCTCAGTTTATAGAGTCCCACACAGCCTGCTCTTCCCTGACTCTTCAGCTTCTGATCCTGCCGCCCCCCCGGAGCCTGCCGCCCTCCCGCCTCACTGGTTTGCTTGCTCCTTCTCTCAAACCCAGGATCCTATCCTCCCAGGACCTGCACTAACCATTCCCGCTGCCCGGACTGCTCTTCCCTAGTCTTCACGGGGCTGGTATAGACGATGACTCAGGTCCAGGTGGAGGTCTCCTCCTCTAAGTGGTCATCCATTCTAAGGTAGCTATTCCGTCGTCTATCCCAGAATTGTCTGCACGGCCTTTATTTTTCGATTTCCTTATTTAATTCCTGTGTTCTCCCCCCTTCATGAGACTGTAAGCTCCACAGGGAATAAGAACGTTGTTATTTCTGCTCTACCCCCTGTGGCTAGAATTGTGCCTGGAATAGTAAGGAGACCTCATAAATATTTGCTAAGGAGACGATGTGACAATCTAGGCCTACCCTAGCCAACCACTGAGAGCCCGCTTGTGTAACGGACTTAAATAGGTCTAAGCATCTTCCTTTTAAAATGACAGTCGTACTAAAATAGAAAACCATACTCTTCAGCAACCATTCCAGATTAGCAAATAGGAACTATATTTACCTTATTATGACATCGTAGGAGTCAATTTTTTCTCCTAATGTCTTATTCTTCAGAACTCCTCCATTACCAACCACCACGCACTTTTTACACGGCACACTGTTGGGCAAACAGACAAGCGAGAGGTTGAGACATCTTTCACCTAACTGGGTGATTCCAAGAATTCGTTCAGACCTTCCGGAACCCGACGCCAAACTTCACTTGTTGCATAGGTAGAAAAAGAACCAATTGTGACTTAAATGTCTAGGGATACATCAGACGCAAGATTCAAGAAGTAACACTCCACAGGAAGTACATGACCATTAGCAACTAACAGTTGCTTCTAAGTCCATACACAGTCAGTCCCTCACGTGATTCTCCTAACCACCTGCTGAGACAGGCACACGCTCGCTCTTTCCGTTTTACAAGGGAAGAAAGCATTCAGAGAGGTGCTGGCCAACATTTCAAAGTCGTACTCCCAAGAGGCAGAATCAGAATTTGCATCCAGACCCCGGGATGACAAAATCACCACCTGGCCTGTGGTCCTGCGTGTTAATATTGATAGTGTGTCCACGTCACACCCCCGTACATTTTTCACCAGCACTGCCCACTCTGAGCATCCTGAGATTCCAGCTCTGGGTCACGGCCGCGTCTTATCAGTGTGCGGACAGTTTGGAATCCGGTGGGGAAGGTGTAGCCTCCCCGGCCCTGCCCGTGAGCCCTTCAGTTCCCCAAACACGTACTGCTCCTTGGAGCTTAACCAACGTAAACTAAAAGTCCACTCGGTGTTCCTGGCAGCTTTCAAGTAGATGACGAAGTGGGACCTCCTGCTGCTGGCGGGGATCAGCCCAGGGCCCGGGACTGTGTACCATCAGCTCTCCGCAGACCCGACCCGGCCCGTCACCGCCTCCTGGCCAGGCCTGGAGAAAGGACAACACAGATCATGTCCCTCTCCTTTGAGGGACGAGGCTACAGAGGGGAAGCCTGTTGAGACTGGCTTTCCAAAGCCTTCATGACATGAAAAGTGTAAAGAAAAAAAAAAAAAAAACCACCGCTTCTAGGAATCATGAAATAAAGCAGACCAGATGAACTCTAGACTCTTCGTAAGGCTCTTCGGAAATTAACGAGTAGCATCCGTCAACTCAGAGGGGCTCCTGGGCGGCTCAGCTGGAGGACCATGTGGCTCCTGACTTCCGGGCCGCGAGTTCAAGCCCCACATTGGGTGTAGAGATCACTTAAATAAACTTGAGTGAATCAGTAATCCCAGAGAATACAGGAATAACTAAAAAGAGCTGAGCGCTGGCCCTGTCGGGTTAAGAGGGGACAACGTACACGTTGCACACACAGATGCGTAAGTTGACTTTCCTCACTGGGGTCTGCTTAGCGCACCTATTCGGGAAGCTTCGAAGTGCTGGAAAATGCTCTTCTACGCATTTTGATTTGGGTCTCTCAGGTCCCCAACCGAAGAGTCCTGTCCTGTCCGACTCCGTCTACTTTGTCATACAAAGGAGAAGGTCCAGAGCAGGACAGGCGTCAGAGACTGGGTTGGGGCGACCTTGTCTGGCACTCCTGGAGGTCGTGCCCCCAAAAACTCCCACCGTGGGCAGCCCACAACGTGCTCTAGAATTCCAGGAAGGCAAGGTCACCCCTGCTGCTCTGCTTGGCGACCAGGGACCCGGAGGGGAGGGGAACGCTGGCAAACAGCCCAAACCCTTTCCTTTGTTGGGGGGGGGGGGAGGCCCCTCCTCCTCTTCACCGGACTCACCCACACAGCAGGTCTGACTCTTCCTTCCAGACCCTGGGGGCTCATTTTAATGCACATCAGAGGCTGGGCCTCCTGAGGCTGGCGCCACCTCCCCTGCCCCCCCCCCCCCCCCCCCAGCGAGGCTGGGCACCTCGGGCACCTCGGGCACCTCGGGCACCGGAGGGAGGATGGAACAGCGGCTCCCGACGCCGCATGGGGCTGCGGGGGAAGAGCCCTCACCGGGGCAGCGACCGGCCTCCCCGTCGGCTGCGGCGCCCCCTCCCCGCGCCCTCCCTGGAGCCTCAGCAGAGCCCCGACCCGAGCCTCCTGGGTGGAGGGCGCCCAGGAGGGGGCCCAGGAGGGCGCCCAGGAGGGACCCGCGGCTGCGCCCCGCTCCAGAGGCTCCCCGCGGCCGGACAGGCGGGGGAGCAGCGGCGCCCCTCGGTCATGCCGACGGGTCACGCCCCGGGCCTGGGCCTCCCGCCTGGGCCTCCCCTGGCCTCCCCCGGGCCTCCCGGGCCTCCCGCCTTCCTCTGGTCGCCCGGGCCGCCCCGTCACCCCGCGGAGCCCCGCGGCCCTCGATGCTTTGCGGCGCCCCGACCCCGCGCTCCCCGACACTTCCCGGTTTGCCCCCGGGCGGCGGCAGGAGGCGGGAGCGCCGAGGCCCCGGTCAAGGCAAGGTCAAGGCAAGGTCAAGGCAAGGTCAAGGCAAGGTCAAGGCAAGGTCGCAGGGCCCCCGCCGGCCCGGGGCTGCCCCGCCTGGGGTGTTGAGGGGCCACGGGCCCCCGGCTCGGAGCCCCCGGGCCCCCTGGGGAGGCGGCCGTCCCGCTGTCCCGCCCCGCCCCGCCGAGGCCCTGCCTGTGGTCGAGGCCCTGGGGCACCCCGCGGGCTGCACCTGCGATGGGGCGGGGGGGGGGGGGGGGGGGCAGGACCCCGGCGGCTGCAGCGGGGCTCCCCGGGCGGGCTCCCTGCGGGCCGTGGAGGGGGGGGGCGGGCGAGCAGGATGCGGGCGCCGAGGCCCGAGCTGCAGGGGCCCCCGGGGGCTGGAGAGCTCCCCCCGACCCCTCCCCCCCCAAGCTCCTCCCGCGTCCTCAGGGGTGGGCGGGGCGAGGCGCGGGGCCGGTTCCCCGCTGCGCCGCGAGGGCCCGCGCCGGGGTCCCGAGGTCACGGGGTCCCCTGCCTCAGCCACCAGCAACCCCCCCCCCGCCCCCGCCCCCGCACACACCGAGGGCCAGGAACGTGGGGCCCGCGCCAGGTCACGGAGCAGGCCGAGGTCTCCCCAAGAGCCGGCATCCCCGTGGGCGACCCCGCCTGCCGACTCCCTCACCCGCCCGCCCCCCCTTCCTCCAGCTCCCCCTTCCCGGCCAGGTCACGTCCCTCCTCTGCGGCCCAAGTCCCAGCCTCACACCCAGTCTGCGCATTTCGATAAAAGGAGGAACACGAGAAAACTAAACAAAAACACCAGGAAAAGGTTGCTCTGATTGGTTTTAAAAACGGTTTGTCGGGGTGCCCGGGGGCTCGGTCGTTGAGCGTCTCCCTTAGGCCCAGGGCGTGACCCTGGAGACCCGGGATCCCCCCTCGGGCTCCCCACACGGAGCCTGCTTCTCCCTCTGCCTGGGTCTCTGCCTCTCTGTGTCTCACGAATAAATAAATCTTTTAAGTAAAAAAAGGATGTTCAATTGTGGGGTCTTTCTGGTCTTTTCTCTGCTTGTTAAAATGTGGAGGGAGGTGCTGAGAACAGGAGAAGTCTGCAGGCCTCCCTCCACCGCCCCTAGAACCTCTCTGGGCCTCACTTCTCTCCCCTTTAGAGGGCTGGGCTGGACTAGGCCTCCGCAGGCTCCAGGATTCACCACTTTAGAGTCTGGTTCTCAGGCCAGGCAACAGGGCCAGGGGAGGGGAGCTTGGGTCATCAGGACTCTTCACAGGACAGCACGGTGCCCCCCTGTTCACCCACCCCAACCTGCTGGGCCTTGCTCAGGAGAGAAGCTCAACGATACAGGGGGGAAAAGCCCAAGACTTATATTCCCTGTTAAAAATAAAAGAGGAATAAAAATGGGTGATGCACATTTCCCATTGCATGGGGTCCCTGGTTCACAGAGAATCCCGGTTACAAAATTAGGGCAAAAGGCAATTTTCTGCAACGCAAATATTTTCCTAACAGTTATGATTGCACATAAGGAGGCAAATGACTAATTACTAAGTGACCAAAAACTTAGAAAAAGAACAGGGGAGTCTGGTTTTTTGTTTTGTGTTTCGGTGGCCACGGGGAGGGGAGGGCAGTGGTTAGCAAAGGGAGGAGGCCGAGCAAAGAGCAAGCGTGGGGCCGTGTAGCTCCAGGGGTCTTTCAGTGCCACGGCCGAACACACACACTCCTCTTCCCTTCCTCCCTTATTTCTCGCCCAAGTTCTTGACGGAAGTAGCTTTGGGGAAAGGTTCTCTCTGCCTCAGAGTTACATTAGTAACATTACCGGCCAGTATGGCAAATATAAGAAGTCCTTCATAGGAAATGTCACTTCATGGGCACAGGGTGAGTGGGGTGGGGGCGGGGTGGGGAAGCACCTGGGTGGCTCAGTCAGTTAAGCAGCTGACTCCCGATTTGGCTCAGGTCATTATCTCAGGGTTGTGGGATGGAACCCCAGACAGGCTCCTCAGTCAGCTTGGGGTCTGCTTGAGCTTCTCTCCCCCTCTGCCCCTCCCCCTACTTACACACACGTGAGTAAAATATCTTTTAAGAAAGGTGTCGCTTCATAAAAAAAACTTAAAATTTTAAAAAAAGAAATGCCACTTCGAAATGATCTACAAAAGCTTCCACAGACAACCAATTCTTCAAGAGACAAACCACGGCTGGCTTGGTATAGGGTTACATAACTGACTTCAGAATCCTAAATATTTACCAGGCACAGAGAGACAGGTGGAGACCAGTGGCCCCTCAATAATCATGTTTCCTTTGTCCCTCAAAATAGGACTTTTTTAAAATGTGGGCCACAGCCACTTTATTAATAATTTTTCTTTTTTTTTAGGCTTCATTCCTTGCCCAACTTCCAGCCACATGTGGCCTGTGACTGTAGCCCTAACCAATGGGATGCAATCAGTGGCTGCTAGCAAATGTTAAACCATCAGTTCGCTCTGGGAGGAAAAAAAAAGGGGATAGGAGACGCCCTGGTTTGTAGTGTTGCCAATTTCTCCAGGATATAAATATTCCCCAAATGGCTCATTCACCTTCCTACTTTGATGACACTGAACATGGAACTGGAAAGAACTACAGCTCTCACGCTGGTGTCAACTGGCTCCAGCAGCTGAGGACCCTGGATGTCATCCAGTATTGTCTGTGACTTCTGGGCAATGTCCTTAGGCAGGAGGCAAGTCCTAACTGACAGAGGCAGGGCCTTGCCCTTGACTCCTCCCTCCTGGCCAGAATGCAGATGTGACTGCTGCAAGTCGAGCCATCACACCGCATACTGAGGAAGAAGCTGTGTATGTAGGAACAGCAGACTCACGGTAGAACAGTCTAGGTCCCGGGGCACCTGGGGGGCTCAGCGCATGATCCCGGGGTCCTGGGATCAAGTCCTGCATCGGGCTCCTTACATGGAGCCTGCTTCTCCCTCTGCCTGTGTCTCTGCCTCTCTGTCTCATGAATAAATAAAATCTTTTAAAAAATTAAAAAAAAAAAAAAAGAACAGTCCAGGTCCCTGCTAATCATAGCTAAGAACATGGCCCCGGTGGGGGGGGGGGGGGAGGGAGTGTTGCAGGTCAGTAGTAAAAATGACAAAGCGTGACCTAATGCATGTATGCCAAAGGTCTGCACAAAAACAATATCCTACCCATTAGAGTTTTATGAACTTTAGGTTAGAAAAGAACATACGTGGTTGCTGTTGAAAGGTGATCAAAATTTGAAATTAAGTTTATGGCACAGTTTCAGATTATAACAAGTAAGGACAAGCTTAAATATGCAACATTTATGACATAATCCACACTTTGATATGTGGGCTCCCACAGAAAAAGGAGATACGTGCAGACAAAACCTAGCACTGTTCTGGAAACTATCTCCATGTTCACACCTCCGTCCAGTATCCTCACTTATGTATCTGCTAACGAGCACCTCTGTCCACTTGAGCAAGAGGAAAAATCCAGTCATTTCCCTTTGTAATGGAGGCCTGTACCGTCCCACTGGGCCACCTGCAGACCACCTGTACTGTCCCACTGGGCCACTGTCATCAGATCCTAAAATGTAGCTTTAAAATGTGTGAAGAGAGTCTACCTCCGTCCAAGTAAGTGCACCTGCTAAGGAGTCTATCTTTAAGAGCAAGTTCATTCCCACAGGGCTCACATGACACCAGATTTTTCTACAAACTAAACTACCTCTTGTAGTCAGAAAACATTATGTGAGCAAGCTGTTTGCCTCCCTCCTGTAAAATTCTGAATAAAAGGAAGAGAGTCGCTTCTGAAATCCAACACTCAAGTGAAACAAAAAGGATCCTCAGGAGCAGTTATAGGATACACAGGAAGGCAGAGGAAACAGCCCATGGAGGGGCCATGAGCTGGTTCACAGAGGCCAGGAATTAATTCTGCGGTAACAACAACTTGGACAAGATGAATGTGGCTTAAAATATCCTGACCTGGAACTAGCATGGCTCACCACACACTCCCTGCAAACTTCTGAGACCATCAGTTAGGCAGCTCCTAAATTAGCTTTGTAGTGTTTATTGGACGTACCGTAGAAATACGTACTCGACGTTTTAGGTAGGCACAGATACGAAGAAACTTTCTTGAGTGAAGACGTTTTACATTGGGGCCCACATTTTGGTTTTTTTGTTTGTTTGGTTTTTTTGTTTAAATTTTTTTTATTTATTTATGATAGTCACAGAGAGAGAGAGAGAGGCAGAGACACAGGCAGAGGGAGAAGCAGGCTCCATGCACCGGGAGCCCGACGTGGGATTCGATCCCGGGTCTCCAGGATCGCGCCCTGGGCCAAAGGCAGGCGCCAAACCGCTGCGCCACCCAGGGATCCCGGGGCCCACATTTTGAACCACATTAGCTAAAACTAAAAAGTAAACAAAAGCAAGGAAATCAACTCACTTGTCAAACTCATCAAAGAGATCACAACTCTGCAGTTTTGAAAGAGCGAGTCGAAAATATTCCGCTGCAAAACAAATGGAGTGGTATAAATAAAAGGATTCATGGCTTCTTAGGCACATAGTAAGCCATCTGCCCCCTTCCCTCCCCCAAGCCCATTTCAAACTGGTGCAGCTCCATGGATTTATTCTGTGGTGAAAATTAATGAGGCAACTGCAATCAGCCAGCACAGCTCAACAGGCACACTCAGAAGTGCTCTAAGGACACTTTCCAAAAACTCCAGGAAAGAGAGAGAGAGAGAGATGCTTAATTTGAAAACAATCATAAGAAAGTAATCCCCAAGAGATCAACATTAGATATTTAAAAATATAGCCTTTCAAACTGACATTCGTCTAGAAGCCAATATTTAGTAAGTTTAGGCGCAAATTATCAAATTCACTGCAATGTATTCTTGAGACACACACACACACACAAAACAAGGTCAGTTGAATATGCAAAATCTAACTCTGAAAACAAAGGATGTCACCTCCTGGGCTCTGAGGGTCTCTCAAAAATAATCTACACCATCAAGCTACATAGAGCCGGTTCGGTGGCCAATAAGCAAAGAGGTGAACCATTTCGTCATTAGTAGATGGAGTGATTCTCTCTCAATTTGGCGAAAGTAAAATAGCCACCAGTTAGCAAAATAAGATACCCAGAGCTAGAACGTAAATGGAGGACATAAAACAAAACCCAGAGGCCAAGAGGCAAAAAAGGGATCCAGGGAGGACGTTAACCCAACCCACAGGGTTATCCTGCTCATTCCACGCTGGAATAAAATAAGGCATCAGAAGGTTATTCGGTATCCTAATAATACTATGGCTACACTGAAGTAAAAAGCAGAAGTTTCTCAGTAAAAACAACAAACCTACCATTTTATTTTTAAATTCTTCGCTGCCTCAAAAAGGAGTGGGGATTTCTATGTTAAAACGTAATGCCCTTCATCCCATCCCCACATCATTTCCTTTGGGGATCATTACGAAGCAGAAAGATGAAAAGGCCTTACAATCACACCAACATGTGGCTCACATCAAACACCACTCACATTAAAAGGGTCGGGTAAAGAATGATATTACTGACCTGATGTTCTTATCCCATAGGGCAAATCAAACTTATCGCTACCATACAAGGAAGCAATCTTTTTAAAATCAGCTGCACACAGAAAAGGGTGAAACTGATGAAACCTGCAAGGAAAGGAAAAAGTGATTTTCCCAAATGCCTGCCCCCTCTGCGGCCCTTCTAAAATAAGGGCTGATGACAACTGCAGTAGCATGCTCGCCTTGATTACAGTGACCATATGTGAAGGTGTGATTATTTTTTTAATTTTAAAAAAAATCACCTCCGATGATATTCAAACATCACACAGAATGGAATATGCAGTGGAACTACACAACCAGAACGGAAACACTTTCCAGGCTGTGGAACCAAAATTATGTCACAGCTTTAGGGGGAGGGTTTGGGGGTGAGGTGGAGAGGGAAGGGGGGGATCAAAATTTAAAATCAAACCAACAGTAAGTGATAAAATGTTATCCACAGACAAAGGGAAAACAAAAGCATGGATGCTAGGCCGCTCCCAAATTTAAAACTACTGTAGGTACAAAGTTATAAAAAGATGATAAAAGTTCCATGCACCAAGGATGCAACACTGCTCTGATCTATTAAAACCTGCTCAGAAAAAAAAAAAAAAAGTACAACAAAATAAAATAAAAACAACAACAGTCTTGCTTGAGAACAAGGACGGTGGGCGTCCTGTCTGCTGTGCCCTGCGCAGCCCCCCGGCCCACTCGGGCCAGAGCCAGGCTGAAGAGAGCAGGACGTGCTCCGCCTCTGCCCCCGACTTTTAGCAGCCAGCACAGAGTGAGGAGGCTACTTATGGTTAATAAATGATCGAAGGAAGTTCAACTCCGTAGGACTTCTTTACGGAACCAGTAGGACATAGAGGGGGGAAAAAAGTTTTTTCAATTAAAGGAACAAGTCAAACTATCCCCACACTTGGCCCCACTTTTCCAGTCCTATCAGCTCTGCCCTCTTTTAGCCTAAAAACTGCAGGTGCAGATGAGAGCGCCTGGGGGGGGGGGGGGGCTCGGGGGCTGCATGACACAAAGGCAATATGTGCTATATGTTAGCAAATTGAATTTAAACACAAAAATGTAAGTTTTTTAAAAAGGCAACGAAGAGCAGTGGAGTAGGGGTGACAGTGTGCCGCTCAGGAGCCGCTAACCTGGGACAGGGGTGGAGTTAGACCTCACGGTGTGTTCAGACTCAGGAAACGGGAGGATGAGCACTCCCTGCACCTGTGCCCCAGACTTAGTGGGGACAGTGATACCGGTCCCGGGGGGGGGGGGGGCAGCCTTATTTAAATACCTGGGTTCCCAGGTAAAACGTTATTTATCCCCAGTGTCTACTGGGTTCCAAAGTAAAACCTATTTCTTAACTACAGGTCATGGTAAAAAAAAAAAAAAAAAAAAAAAAAAAAAGGAAAAAAAAAAGCCTAAAACCTAACTGGACACACACCCATGGGAAGGCCAGAGGCAGCCACGGCGCAGCTGTGATCAGATGCAGAAATGTCCGATGAAGCTGCAGTCTCCTAGAGAGTTGATGGTAAAGGAATGTGTAGCCCCACAAGGTGAGGAACCAGTAAGGAAAAGGGGCAGGGAGAGAATTAAGAGAATACACGGGTTTTTGATCTTTAATGGGCAAAGTGTTAAAAAGCCTGTCCCTGTTTTATATAATTAAATGTGACCAGACTGTCCTTTATTTCTATTTCTCTAGAAGCACGTTGACCAGCAACGTGTCAGAGTTGAGGGGACAGAGGGAAAGAGTATTGGTGGATATTGTGCAACTCCTGACAACCCCGTAACGATCATGATTTACATTCCCAGGACCTCACTGAAATCCAGTTCCTCAAAGTCAGGAAAAACTTCTCGTCACAGAAGTTTAACCTAAAGGCAAAGGAGAAAGAGCCCCAGAACGGGAAGGGTGGGAAATCACATGGGAACAACCAAGGGGGAAATACAACCCTGAGAAACAGTTCGCTGGGGTCTATAATCCGACACAAACAGGCCTCTCTAATCTCCCCTGTGAGGGGAGCACTGGGCTCACTGAGCTCTTCAAGGCCTTTGCTGCACATGGATGCAGATCGGACTAAAAGCACAAAAAGGAGACAGGATATTCAAGCTCTTCCCTAAACACAGTGTTTCTACCACCGCTAGGATTTACATGGGGGGGGCGTGAAAAATGATCACAAGCGCATTTTGAACATTTTGTGGGTCACACGTTCTTTTGTTATTTTTACCTCAGGAGAGAGGCAAAAGCTGGCTTCGCTAAACAAGGCTGGATCTTATTTCTCCGCTTCATTTCCACAGGCGGCACCCTAGGAGACAAAAGTAGGCTCAGTCAGAAACCAGAACCCGGCAGCCCGCCCCCAGGAAAGCCAATGCCCTGGGAGTCCGCTCGGTGCCCGCGCCGGGAGGACGCCTTCTCCCAGAAGCCCCCGAGAGGACAGTCCCTTGCGTATGTCTGAGGACGCCGGCCACAAGGCACGAGACTGAGAAAGGCCGAGGTGACAAGCCACCCGGAAATAACTCAGTGAGCAGGGAACAAAGGGCCTTCGAGAAGGCCTAGGATTACCACACTGTGGACCCCACGAGGAGGCTGACTTTTCAGAAGTGCCCCCACCCAGAGCCTGAGCAGCCCGTCCTCCGGCCCCATCTGGGGACACCTACCTGCAGCTCCCCAGACAAGCCTTGTCATCTGGACGCCACAAATCCCACTATTCAGAGTCCTATGGGACTCTCCTCTGTTCCTGGCAGAGGTTAGGCCCTTCTGGGTCGCCTGAATGGAGCGTTTGTCTCCACAACTTAAAAGGGTATTGTCAAACAAGACAGCACGACAACACAAATAAGCGAAGGGGACAGGGTGGCGGGATCCAGATTCAGCCAGCCTCAGTACTGCTTCACAGAAGAACGTATTAACGACCAATTACAGGAACAACTAATCGTAAACAACTAACCAATGTTCTTCTACAATCATGGGACTCCAACTCAAAGAACAGGCCTCAATTTTCAATTTTTTTTGTTGTTGTTGTTGTTAAAAAAATCCCCTCAGTTGGAACTGCTAGGTTTCTAAATGACAAAGCTAGTTTAAAGTCCTTACCAGAGAAACATCTTTTGTGAATACCCCAAGTGGCAAGAATCCCTCGACCTATATGTAAGGAAGGTACATAAATATGGGGGGCCAGCACATCAGACCATAAACACCAAGTTATATTCAGAGGATAAAATGAAGTATAATAAAAGTCTGAAATTTTTTTTAATAAAATTCAAAAAACCAAAATGAAGTTTAAGACATTATTTGGTTTCTAAAGTTTTAAAACAGAAAAACTTTTAGGATATTGTGAACACAAGCTCTGACGTGGCTTAAAGTTATCGGTCTTAAATAATTCTTATCTGTTTATTTGAGAGAGGGAGAGAGAGCACCGGCAGGGAGGGCTGACACAGGGCTCGATCCCAGGACCCCGGGATCATGACCTGGGCCAAAGGCAGACGCCTAACCAACCGAGGCACCCAGACACCCCCAGTCTTAAATAATTCTTAAGGAATCAAGTTCACAGCACAAACCCACCCAGGGTAACGTCCTACAGGACTTTACGTGACTGGGGTGAGGTGTTAGCTTTCGAGTGTCATAAACACTCCTCAAACTCTGATAACAAAAGACTACACGAAATTCAGATTCTTTACGTTGTCCTCCTTATCATTTCCCCCGTGACACACAATAGGATTTGTAGAGAAGCCGCTATCTAGTATCTAGTAACCTCTTTGCTTTCTCTCCTGTTGTCTTCCATTACTAAGTGTGGTACAGAGATAGCATGTGGCAAAGATGGAAGGAGAGATCCCCATGGTATAACCCTCACAGGGTGTGCAATAAAACTCCTCAGTCCTCTAGCTCGGTATTTAAGTCCAAAGCCTAGAAACTTAGGTCCAAACCTACCCACCTGGCATTGGGTTTTTCCAGTGACCATTTGCCTAACTTCCTTCCATGAAGAGCATTACAATAATTTTTCAAACAACCAGTGGTGAAATAAATTCAGAAGCATCATTTTTTTTTTTTTATCTAGTAGGGGGGAAAAAACAAACAAACAAAAAAACCAGAGACGTGATCTAGGATCTCCTATTAAAAAGCCGGCAAAGAGCACTCATAGTTTAAGACAGGAAATTAGATTGTGATTTAGTTTGATATCATACACTACCATCCACTCAGGATTTAAAGATCATCAAGACTCTATTCCTAGTCAAAGAGCTGATAAGAGGGAAAAGGATAAAAAGCTTGTAAGTTTTCTCTGCCATAAAAAAACTACCTGCGCCTCTTCAAAGTTTTATATGTGACGTTTCCAGTCAATGTGGTTTCATAAAGTATGTTCACCGTCATTCACCAAATATTTTTAAACGAAGAGAACCATACGTAGTGTTTATATTTTAGTCAACAATCTCTTATCCAAGCATCTTAGGCACAGTAGTCAAGGACCCCTGAGTCCAAGAATTAGTCCATCAATTCACGACGATGAAATATTATATAAAGAAAAATGTCGTGTCTCAAAGACAACATCACTGCTCCACTGAAAAGTCAATAAAAAGAAGGTGCTGTTTTATCAGTTTTAAACCATTAGAGCATGACATGTAAGCTACTAGAATGGTAAAACCCCAATTTATAATGAAAAGCAAGAAAAAGGCTCAAAATGTTAAAGACTTGGGGGAAATATATATATTTATAAATATATAAGATATATTTATAAATATAAAAAATATATTAAAAATATATTTATAAATATATATATATATATTTCCCCCCATATACATTATTTCCCCCCAGTATCATCTTTGGGTCTGTGTGAAAGACTAGTTTGGGGATTATTTTTAAAGAGCAAGAATGATGAGGCTCCTGAGTCAGTCAGGTAAATGTCTGACTCTTGGTTTCGGCTTAGGTCATGATCTCAGGGTGGTGAGATCAAGCCCTGCATCAGGCTCTATGCACAGCACAGCATCTGCCTGAGACTCTCTCCTTCATCCCTCTGTCCCTCCTCCCATCGTTCTCTCTCAAATAAATAAATTCCTTAGAATAAAACAAAAATAAAGAGCAACCATGAAACTTACCAATAGATGTTTGTTCCCCACAATATACAATGCAGCACATAATAGAGAAAGACAGCACTCAGGAATATGGCCACTAGGTACCCTCTCATGGCTGGCCCACCTGAAACACAGGAACGAAGTCCCAAGAAAAGGCAATAGTTTGTTATGTAGATGGGTTCACACAAAGGCTCAAATACAAGATTAGTGAATCAACAGAGAAAGGGCAACAGAGGCCTACATGATGTGCGCCTGTTGTTTTTGGCAACATCTACTAAATTTTCAGGGGAAAAAAAAAAAGCACTTTTTTTTCCTCTCTCCTCAGCTGGTAAGTCAATCCAACGTGACATGTAGACCAGTAAACGGCACCATTGTTTCAAAGCTGGTGGCGTCCATCCTACTTTCTTACATTAGAGAAGGAAAGAATTCACGCAGAACAAAAGTTTGCACATCTGCTCCATATCCAAAACTTTCTTCAGAGACACTATCTAATATCTATTTTCACTCTCTCAGTAGACGGTGGATACATGCCCTAAGATGTAAGCAAACATTGCATTTCTTCGGTGCTCAAAATGATCTTCAAATGCTCTACATTGTAATTTTTACAAGTCCTTTTTGTAACTTCTAAAAACCGAGGAGCGCCCGGCCCGCAGGGCTCGGTTGGTTAAGTGTCTGACTCTTGATTTTGGCTCAGGTGGTGATCTCCGGATTGGGAGATCAAGTTGGGCTCCACACTGGGTGTGCAGCCTGCTTAGGATTCTCTCTTCTTCTCCAAACACACACACACACACACACACTTTATAAGAACAGGACAAAAGCTACTAAAAAGTACTTCCCACATCTTCAATTTTTATATACTTTTAGGTTGTACCCATTTGATTTTTCAGTATCACAGCACAGGTAAATTTATCTAATTTCTTACTTACACTACATAGACCGCATAGTCCATTATACAGTTTTAGATAGAAACCTGGACACAACCCCCTTTTGAATACAAATTTAAAAACCCTTTATAGAATGTTTATGTACATATATACACACACATATCTAAAAAAAAAAAAAAAAAACCTCACCATATTTAGCTCTCACTTTTGCTTCCGAGAAAGTTCTCACTTCCCCATGCAATTAAATGCAAAAGGACAAATTTAATATATGGTTCCTTTTTGTTTGTTTTAGGTTCTTATTTATCCATGAGAGACAAGAGACAGGCAGAGACATAGGCAGAGGGAGAGGCAGGCTCCCTGCAGGGAACCCGATGTGGGACTCGATCCCCAGACCCAGGATCACTCCCTGAGCCCAAGGCAGATGCTCAACTGCTGAGCCACCCAGGTGTCCCTAATACATGGTTCTTATCATAGATTTCAATGCTGGTGCTTTTAAACAAGTATACTACAACTCTTTACCTCTTACGAAGTTTCTGCTTCACCTAGACAATTGCACGTACCATTCCTCCCACTCCTATTCATATCTATTAACCTCAATCGGGGCAATGCAGTGTAGACACTGCGAGTCTGGTTAGATACATTTCCACATAATACGATGCTGTGTCCCTTGTGACAGTCAAGTAAGTGCACGTGGAACTCTTAATATAAAACACTCCTTTGCCTTCATAAGCCAAAGATAACAAGTATAACTTAAGCTTTCTTTGATCACGTGGCATCATCTTAACAAATGTCAGAATTGTGCTGGGCTCCTCTGGAGCCAGCGACGGTGTGGGAACTGTCTGCTAAGCAGTCCTTATCCAGCAGGGATTGGTTTCCCCTCCCTTGCTTTCAGCTGTGGCTTCTCAGGGCTAGACCGGTAGGCAGCACCCCTACATGCCGTTGTTATAAGGGAGTTAGAAATGCCTGTGTAAAGAGAAAGCAAATAGAGGAGTTAAATGAGCTAAACTTTACACGTACTTCTAACTCAGGATACATAGTGCTCATGAAAAGTCAACACCGCTTGGCAATCAGATGACATGAATCATGGCCTAACTTCACATAACTCCTGGCTTGGGAGGGGGGTGCTTAGGTTAAACAGTTTACCTTGTCCAGCCCCAAGTAAACTCACGTGTTTACAAGGGAGAGCACACAGCCTACCTCTTCGAGCTAGGAGGTAAATTACCCCAAAGGATGGGCATCTGACACAACCTAGGACACAAAACATGCGCTGAGTTTGTGTATCTTACTGTTGTTGGTTTCCTAAAACTGAAGTCAGCTGTGCTCTTTGCCTAAGTAGCAGTGTGCATGGGTTTTGAGAACGCCCAAGTGAGCCTTGGCCTGTCCTGACGCAGCCTTACACGGTGTTCTCACTGGCCTGGCAGGAAGCCCCACGGCCTCTGACACCAAAGGGAGGAAAGCATGTGAAAAATATCTAGGTCAGCTGCTCCCATCTCCTCAGGCCTGTGCATCTCTTTCCACTCTGTTTGGTCTTCCTCATCCATTTGTAACGTATGCTATCTTGACATGTTGTGGTTTTAAAAAAAAAAAATTGCCTTAAGTTCTTTATGGTTTTAAAAAGCCAGAAATAAACTGCAGGATTATCAGTAGGTAAAAAAAGGGAAAGAAGGGAGGGAGGGAAAGAAGGGAGGGAGGGAAAGAAGGGAGGGAAGAGAAAAAGTGTATGGTTCTAGGTTTCTTGAAAACTTGGTAAAACCCAAGTGATGGGGGAGAATTAAGGTTTGGATTGTCAATAAAAGTCTAAGCCATTGAGGCGTTTGGGATGTTAGATGCATCTGTGAAGTGGCTAATTGAAGAATCAAAGAGAAGTTAGCCAGCCCAGAGCCTGGCCCTTGTATTTGTTCAACAAATGTAGCTTTCCTTCCTTTCCTTGTATGGAGTTAATTGAGAAAAGTCTAGGAAGTGGGTGCCCAGCTGGGTGCTGAAAGACAACTTGTCGTACACGTAGGCCGAGATCATATTAAATGCTGACCAAAGGCCATGAGCAAAGCTTCATGATGACAAGATACAGGCCTATCGGTGCTCAGAGGAACGGATGTGGACTTGGCTTGTCTCATCCCTTTGATTGATGTGACCTTAGCAAAGTTCTTCCCCGCCCCACATGCGGTTATTACCTGAACACAAATATAGGATACATATTAAAGACTCCAAAGAACACAATGGGATTATTTATAGATCCTGCGACTCCCTTGAAAATACACTGTAAGTAACCCTTTTTTTTGTTATATTTGTTGATGGTCACAGGCATCAGGGGTATTTGGTAACTCAGTTCTGGAATCCACCCGTTTGACTGTACCTGAAATAGTTTTAGGAGTTACTTATGACTGTCCTGGAAGGTATCTTACCATGAGCCAATGTAGTCCTAAAACAATCTGTTTAAGTGCTCAAATAGTCAAGGCTCCACCTAGAATAACATCATTTGTGCAAACACCCAACATGGATGCCACTTACGAGTACCAGCAATTCTTAAAAAACCTGTTATACAAGGAAGATAAAACAGTATATGAAGGTCTAGAGAAACAACTCCATATTTACAATTCGATCTGCTCATCTGTCCTCCAGAACGAATTCTTTGGGAAATCTGCATATTATTTTGCAAAGCACAGAAGTAGAAGTAACCGAGATTTTGTGGTTTTTCATTCACAAATATGTGTTTTAGCTGAAAAGTCAGAAGTGTGAGGCATTTTTTCCCTTTAAAAAAATTAAACCAACTCTTGAAGAGCCATTGCATACACCAGCTGAGAAAAACCTAGGAAGCTTAGCCACTCTCTTGTATTTCACGGGCAATACAAAGCACATTCAAGTTGCAAAGTAGACTTGGACAGTCAGGATATCCTTGTGATAAACATGTATAGTTCCTCTGCTTGGTTGTAGGGAAAAAAAATTCCACTAATGAACAAATTCTCTAATTATAATTCCATAAATGGAATGACCATTTTGCTTTGAACAGAAGATTTCAAAAGAAAACCAGAATTTAACCTAGAATGCCTGCTTTAAGGAAAAAAAAAAAAAGCAAGCCTTCAGTAGAGCTTCAATCATCAAAAGAAGTTTCCAGATCTCGACATTAAACCTGACAGACCCAGCTTCCTGCTGGATCAGCAGAAATCAAATCCTTATTTCTGCTCAAATTATAATAGACTGACATACGAATAATCTCCATACATCAAAGGGAGCTCACTCTTGGCAACGGCTTTCCCTCCTCTTTAATAAAAAGCATGTCTCATTTGCGTGGGGTTTTAAAGTTCACAAAATGCTTTTAAGTCCCTCACTTCATTTAAGGCTCAAACCGGGCTTGATAAATGGCAGGTAGGTACCATCTTCCTGAAGAAGGAGGAGGAAACTCAAAGTCTCCTGAGGTTGAGCTGCCCTGGGTCACACAGTTTGGGAGACAGAAATAGACTTAAGGTCTGACCATTTCTTCCTCACAGTTCTATTCCTGGTGTCATCCTGTTTCTCAAGACAAAAGGCATGAGGGGAACCCAAGAGAGAGTTCTAGCCTATAACTTCCTGACAGTGCTCCCATGTGGTGGCTGGAGTTCCCAGAGGGTGAATTCAGATATCCGCAGAAGGGAAATGGCTCTAGGGCAGCGTGCCCCCCCCAAGGGATGTGGCAGTCCAAGGGTCAGCACCAGATGGGAGCTCGCTAACGAGAACATTCCTGAGCCCTAACCTGATCCGAATCTCTGGAGCTCAGGAATGTACATGGAAACAAGTGCCCTCCAATAGAATTCTTGTGCATACCAGAGTTTGAGAACCACTGCCCTGCTCTACTCCAGGGAATGATGGAGGGAAAAAAAAAAAAAAAAATCTTGGGTTTCCTGAAATCCAGGGACCATGACACAGAGGTTACAGGAGTTACCTGACAAGGCTAGGAGCTCCCTAGGGGAGTGTGGAGCATTTCTAATACCCGGCACACAGGAGAGGTTAAGCAGATAGCCGTTGGATGTAGTTACACATCCACGAACTAGATGCCCTTGGGGGGGGGGGCAGAAATGTCTAGCACATGGCAAATGCCCAGTGGATAATAGCTGATTAGAATCATTGAGACAGGGGCGTCCAGCACATGCTCATTACGTGCCAAGGCAGATGGTAAAGGCTTCTGATGCTCTAGCTCATGTAACCCTCACAATCGCCCCATGGAGTGGTAAACATACAACCCCACGCTGTGGACCAGTAACTTTCC